ATTCTCTTGCAACTGTGCTTATTGATATATGTTAATGATAGTAATGGCATCGTGCAATAAGTATGTTCACTCTTGAAGCGAAAGTAGAAATCGGCCTTCCAGTAAATGTACGACCTACTTAGAAATAACAGACATTGGGGTACATCTCAAGAACTACGTGGGGTCCAGCGGTGAAAATTGGCATGAAATAAGAAGAGAGTTTATTTTATTCACTGCAAGCATGAAAACGTTGAATATTTGCTGATTTGTTAAATTAAATAGCTTCTGAAGCGAAGGGGGGTCAAAAATGAATGACAAAGTTCATAACCTTCTCTTTATTATATACTAGGGGGTCAAAAATTCAAGCGAGTTTGGTGCCTGTGGTAGAGAGTTATTACGTATAATACATGTTGTCGGCGGACTTTTCAGTCTTATTACATCTAAAAGAACAGTTTCGTAAAGGCTAAACTCGAAACCATGCTTTGTGTAAAATTTTGACAATATCTTCCGTGAATATATACATGTATTTGACCTAATGCTTGCATATAATTTCTGTTAGTCGAGAGCGACACCGTGGTGTAGTGGTGTGCCTCTCGCTTGACAGGCGAGGGGTCTCGGGTTCGATTTCCATTTTTTAAAATACTTTTTTCTACTTAATTATATTATTCAGCATTATGCCATGTAAAATGGAAAAAAATAAGACGTCTGGCTTGTACAAACTCATAAAACCGTCATTACAGTGTGATAAATATTCTTTATAAAAAGATTCTTCTGTACACATGCATAATAAAGAATAAGCAACGAAAATCTTTATGGCCATATTGTCATTTTTATTTGCTTTAATATACATGTATACTTTTATACATTTAATAATTCTACAAATTTAGTCAGTGGGGATCCAACCCCCACCCCCACCCCCCAAACTGCGCATGTTATTCTTCTTTCCCTATGCGGGGGACACGAATTCTCTGAATTAGCTTGTCGTCGTTAATTTTTGCACGGATGGCTTCAATGATTGTTTTCAGTAAACATCGTTTAAATATGGTCTATTTCTTTTATAAATGGATTCATTTTAACCAATTATTAATGTACGGTAACGAAATCGGACATGCATAGAAACGCCGTTAACCACTTAAAAAGTGATGAAATATTTAGAAATAATTATTCAAAAAAATGTTTAAAGTCAGTTTGTGTTATAAGTTTAATGTATATAGAGTAAACAACCAACATGTAAAACAATATAGACTAGTGATCAACAACGTCTGTTCGTTCTCTTTCGCTTGTCTAATCATCAAACCTGCACGTTTAACAGATTGCCCAGCTTTATCGTTTATCAAATAGATCCTGAACAAGATTTCCATATTAATTTTAACGTTTAAATTGGGTGTCAAATTGACATAGTTTCGTAGTAAATATATAAAGGTGAAATAAAGTTAAGATTTAAAAGCAACAGAAGCGATCGAAAAAGACCCAAAACACAGCGTTAAGTGCAGTCATCTTTTGGTAGAAGGCATTTTAGTGCTCTATGTTTTCCAAAACAAACTGTGCTGTAAAATCGATGAAAATTGCATAAAAATTCGAAAATGAACCTATTTTCTGACCTCGCTGTATATTTTACATCTTTGAACCAATACTCACTTTTTAAAAGGGATGACAACAGTTTCTTATGGATAAACTGTTGGATCATTCTGCAAGACACCCAAAATCGGTGGCCAAATACTAGTCTTACCCTATCTTGTCCTTTAATTGCAAAAGCTCAAGCACTTCGTTAGATATCGCCCGAAAAACAAAGTTTTGCACGCACAGAATGTACAATTTACCACATTAACAAATAACAGAAACACAGGCAGAGAGACGGAGTGTCAAACAGACAGGCCAAAATAAATAATATAATATTCTCTTAAATTTTTGTAAGCTTTGAGTTCACTCTCTGTTTTGGTTTAAATTGTGTTTTTTTCGAAATGGATTGGATGAAGCTCAACTGATAGCAAAACCTTGACAGAACAGGAATGAAAATACTGAGTTGATGTTTCCCAAACTATTTACTTCTAAGTTTGACTTTGCCATCTATGGTCAGTTAAAAAGCCTAATATAAACAGTAAACAACAAAACGATGACGAACCTTGAATATATTTTATACTGGTCTCTTTAAATTTTAAATATTACAGGATTTATTTCTTGTTCTTTACTAAATAAAATTGGTTTAAGTTTTGTTTAAATTTTTCCTCCTAAAAATAAATTATATTTTTCATATTTGAATTAATATCATTAATGAAAAGATAACGGGAATATAAGTAGTATCATTTTTGGAATGAACTATAGTCAAATAACACTAAGTATTTTTTTTAACCATTAAGTTCTTACCTGTGATACATTTATCACCGTAGAATCCTTTCGAGCAACCATTTGCGCAGATTCCTGTCACACTGTCACATGGCTTTTTATCTTTGCATAAACCACAACGTTCTCTACAGTTACGTCCGTATTGACCCGGTCTACAAACTATATACTGATTTTTGCATATACCAGGAAGCTTATTAAAAGTGTAAGTTGCCAAAAAATACATAAAATTATAAAAGGAATAGATTACTTATTATTTAGAAGGCTGGGGAATTCAAACGGTGATGATCTGAAAATATCTACACACAGTACAAATTTGTGAAGAGGGAAAGAAGGGCCACTGGAAAATCCAGAGGAGTCTTACAGAAAACACTAAAAATAACAAGTTCTTGAAATTGAGTATAAGTAAATTTACAATAAAATATATTTCCTTAAAAATTGAAATACGATACAATGCATACATCTGTATAGTATTTCAGACCAGGTGTTAATTATCGCTCAATGGAATATTTAAAAAAAAAAAAATCTTTTTTTTCAATCTGATGAAGGACACTGCTATTCATAACAGAAGATGTTTGTGAAACACTTATGCCCCCCTTCCCCTTGAAATACATGCGAAGAGGAAATGAACGGATACAGTTAAAAATCGAAGGGAATAACTCTGTCAAAGTTAGCTTGATCGTACCGAAAACTAAACTCGGTCTAGATATTTTTAGGGTAAATTGTAAAAAAAGAACCAAATTCCTTTTCAGTACATGCAACCTCTGCAAATATGTAGTGAGCAGAAAATGCAAATTATTGGAATTTTTTCTTTCTACAAGTGGCATGATTCTGTTCAAACTGCTCGATCGTACTAAAAGCAGAAATAGACCTTCATATTATTATGAGAAATCTTTATAACTAATGTTATTTCAGGATTTAAAACCTCTGTAAAGAAAACAAACGAAAAATTATTGGACCAAGAGACAGACAGCAGCAAAGCAATATTCCTTCCCGTCTTTGAAGAGGGGTATAAAAATGTAATGATACCATTGAGACATCGATCTCCTGAGAATCCTGGTAAACATCCATCAAAGCATGTCCCCGTAAATCGGTCACAAACACTTCGCGTAGCACACTTGTTACTACAGACACCAGTGCATTTGAATCCATAATAACCAAGTGGGCATTCTGTAAATTATATCAAATTAGGTTAAGGCACCTCTTATGTATAAATAAAGTCTAAACTTTAGATGAATACCATACATGTATATATTAGAAGACTCTCTCGACGCACTTAAGTGTTAATGTCTTCCCATTTTTTGGGAAGAAAAGGGAGTTATTTTTGCCTTGAGGTTCTTGAATAAATTAATGATTAATCCTATATTTTTTACGAACCATTCAGTTCTTACCTGTGATACATTTATCACCGTAGAATCCTTCCGAGCAACCATTTGCGCAGTTTCCAGTCACGCTGTTACAAGGCTGTTTGTCTTTGCAAAAACCACAACGTTCTGTACAGTTGCGTCCGTATTTACCCGGTTTACAACCTGGAAACAAATATTATGATGATGCTGTTAGTGAAGACGTTGTTTAAACTTAAACAAAGACAGAATAAACACAAAGGTTAAAGTTTAAATTATTAAAGGTTGAACCTTTCTGTTATTTTGTGTATTGTCAATGATCAGCAATTATCTAGTTGATATAAATCCGAAATATTTTTTTTGTATATCGGCATATTAACAAAGAAGATTGTCTAATTTTAATAGGAATACTATAAAGAGGACATTAAACCTTAACCATAAATAGTAAATATCACATAAACTTAGCATTATTTGTTTGTACAATAATCGCCTTGCAGTCCCTCTGGACAGGACCGGCATTTTCCTGATGATATGTCACATCGTCCTTTATAGCAGTTGGGTGGACATTTTATACATTCCCCTTGACGGATATTTTGACAGCCTGCAATAAAACTAATCAAATAGAGACAATTTCATGTTTTGGAACAGAAATCAGAAACGTTATTTTCAGTTAATTTAATGTTGAGAATACTTATTTCTTTATCATCAAGTCAAATTGTATCTGACGTTTTTCATTCTCATTGTTAGGTCACTATATACACACCGAATAGCCATTATTTTCGATTATGATAAGAGGCACTCGGAGGGTATGACCGGTAGACAAGGTACGCACACTCCTCCATGGCATCTGATACACCTGAAGTTTTGGAGGTCCGTGTTTACTTTGCTCCAATTTTGTATTGTTAAATGAACTTCTGAGCTCTAATACTGTTCGTTATCTCAATTTATCTCAAACGTGTAGAAGATATACCCGTGAGATAAGCCTATGCTTTACCAACGGGTAGGTGCTTTATCAATACATGTAGCACTTAAAATTCGGACTAGAATCTTCTGCGTCGTTTAACCCTGGAAGTTTCGAATTTATCATATTTTGATCAGGAAAAATTTTTATCCTCTAAAATAAATGAAACTGATACTGAACAAGAATTTTATTAAAAGGAGAAACACAAGATTTTTTGAATCCATGAAGTATCAAATTTTATCAAAATTTGAATATTGGCTATTGTTAGACAGATGTTACCCCCTCCCCAATCTTTTTAAAGGGAATCCTTAGGCCTAGCAGTTAGGTTGTTGGTGCTACATTCCTTTGACTCTTTCAAATATGCTTTCAAACATTTTATTATGTGTACATTTTAATAATGTATATGAAACTCGCCAGAGATCTTAGAACAATTTACAAGTAGATGAAGGGGGCCTAGCATACATGTAGCACTGTTTGCACGTCTACCATTCATAGAAAATTCAACATCCGTTGGTCTTTACAACTTTCAGTCAAAAGATTGAAATAAACTTGTGGTTCCACCAAAAAAAAAGTGGAATGCTAAATGGACTTGTACTGTTAACATGTATACATGTACAATATAATCAAGCTTTTACCATATACTTCAACTTCGCATAACTCTAGGATAGCAATCTTTGAGTAGAAATCAGGATATGAAACTTTAGGGTCTCTTTCGTTATACAAAATGACATATCGCCCCAATGTATTACATTCGATGGTCATGTTCGGCGACGGAGAATTCTGACCAGTTTGGATTTCGTGATAATACTGCTCCCCATGGTTTTTCCTGATGTCTTTCGCTATATAAAGGTAAAATCCAGCAAACCGTCCTCTATACTTTGTTTCTGAAAAAAAAACTTACTAAAATAATAATAGTTGGTGATAAAAGCATACAGAGAGATAGAGAGAGAGGCATTAAAAATAAAATTAACATGTATGCAATAATATTACGAAAATGGTAAAATATTTAGATATTATTTGAAACGCATTATATTAGAATACACTAGCAACATGGTTCAATAAATGTTCTGAACTCTGAACAATTGTCCTAATCTGTCAAAACTGCAACATCAACAGTCAACAAAAATCTTAGAACTAGGTGTGATGTTTAGCACAGCTTCGTCAATCCTAATGTATAATAAAGTTTTTTTTTTTCAATTGTGAAAGAAAATGGGGTGATAAGACAGACGAAGTGCTTATAAAGCGACAAACATGAAGTGAAAAATTAAATCTCAATTTTATCCACATTTTCTTTGATATTTCTAGCATTAAAGGATATTTAATGTAAAATCTCCACAATTTTCAAATATCTCACAAAGACATAATTTACACACATACTAAAAAGAATTCTAAAAAAGAACATTGATTCAAGAAGACAATGTCATTGAGTGTTGGTATTTGTTTGATGAAATTTGACCGGTTAAATTTAGAAGCAATGTCATCTTACAAATCAAGAAAAAAAAATCAAACCCAATAATTAACTAAAGCTACCTTCAATGATTTTTTATTTAAAATTCTTCTCAGTAGATGCATTTGCCTAACACAGATCGGTTCAATTGGGGCCCCTCATTCAAATACCATGTATTAATGATTTTTCTGATATATTGTCAGACCACTGGCTTATGATTTTCCAAAGTTTATCTCAAACACTAAAGAAATTCGGCTATAGGACAAATAATTATGTGTATCGGTCCAAATATTTATATCCTTGGAAATTATGTCCTTAGTAAACTCTTGTAGTTATTATTGCAGGAATTACGAACTCTCACCCCTTCTTTGAAGTGAGACGGTCTACTTGATATATATTTTTTTTCTTTAAAGATGCTGTGAGTTTATTGCATATACTGTCAAGAGAGAAGACCGAGGAATAATACGGAAAGTGAACTTCGTACCCCATTGTTCCTCCATTCTATAGTAAATTGTAACATGGTTGATAGCCATAACTTTCCCGAGATCAACAAACCAATGAGCGGTTGTCTGATCATCACATGTAACAGCGCAATGGTTCGTGCTCAAAGATGTACTTATCACGCCGTCAACAGCTTTTTCTGGACCCCAAAATGGAAAGGGTGTAGAAGATTGACGAGCCTTCTTACCAAGCGCTAAATTTTCTGTTAAAAAAATTAACAGAAAATATGTTTAATAATAATAAATTCGTTTATTTTTACAGGACAGCACAATTAGTACATATCACCAGTTTACATCATGGTCCTGCATAAAATATATTTACAGACAAATATAAAAGAAAAAAGTAGGAAATAAATAAGAAAAAAATTATACATGGCAAATCATAACAGACGTATTTGTACATGCTATCAAATAAACTATTAAAAAAAATATCTTTGTGCCATAAGATAAACTCATTTAAGAACGATTGGTTCACTTGTTTAAATCATAATTTTGCAAATATGCTGATTTAAAAGAAGCCAAAGAATTACAGATTCTAACAGAGTCAGGCAACTGATTCCATAAAATTGCAGCTAAAATTCTAAAAGATCGTTTAAGGTAGGACTAAATAGATAGGCCAAATTTTTTCCTCAAATTCAATTTTTCTGAAACTTTGATATTTTGTTCTTGGATACAAAATCTCTCTTTATACATGATATGAAAGAAATTGAACCGCACATTTTTAGCCCAAATAGTCTGAAATATGGCATATCAGACCCCTGTAAGAAGATTGCGAAATCAGACATTCGACTTGAGAATGAGCCTTATTTTAGAATTTTCAATTGATCTATTGCAAATTTGTGTAATACTTTCAATAACGAAAACCTTTTTGTTACTTTAAATCAGTAAGTCACTTTGATACTTGAAAATTAGGGTGAAATATTAAGTAAAATAGAACATACATTGTATCAGAAACTGAAAATTCACATGTAAATATCCGACAGTTTAAGTTTATTTAAGAGAAAATGTATAATTCAATTTTTACAAAAAATCAACAGAATGATTCAAATGGGTCCTAGAATAAAATGTGTAAAAATAAAGAAAATTGAACCGGTGGATTAAGATATTTTGGCGATTAAACAAAATTCAATGGCAAAAAACTGAAAGATTCAGTAGATGACGTCAAAATATTTGACCTTTGACCTCGTGATATGACCTTGATCTTTGTAGTACATGAAGAATGGAGACTCCTTATATATGTGTCCAAATATCTCCCCTCTACTATTTACGGAACAAAAGTTGCACTGCATTTTATAAGAGACTGTTACATGCTTTTTTATTGCACTTAGATAGCGTAATCACATTCCAAAATGTAAGCTCTCAAGTGACCAATATATAGGATTCTCTGACTATTTCACAAAATATAACGCAAATATGCCAAAACTTATTATTTTTCTTTCAGGGATCATTCATTGTTGTCAATATAGTAATATTATTCTTTTTACCTCCAGTAATTTTTAAGAAATGGGTTAAAATAGAATTCACAGGTCTTTGTCCTACCTTAAAATATTCAGTTCGTGCTTTTGGAATATATCAAAGGCTTCTATACAATGTATATCAGCCCTATATATATATATATATATGAACGTATAATATATATCGAGTGTGATCATTTTTAGCCGGGCTTATTGCTCAAAGAGCAATTGCCGGCTTATGTGATCCCTTTCAAGGCAGGATGTTAACCCAAAAGTCGCCATTTTAAAGTTACGTGCAAAATTATAGTTCTAACTCTCAACCGCTTTTGAGATAATACAAACGCTAAATAAAGCAACAAAAATAAAACGAAGTTTTATCTATATAAAATAAACATTAGTGGTAATGACTTTGAAAACTTCATAAGTCAAAGAACATAGTTCATTAGCGTAAGGATTTTTGATAATCTGTGTTACCGTAGTTCTCTACACATACGAGGTAAAGCAGGAGAGGGAACCAGACTGGCCTGTTTGTTTACATTCAGCTGCGGTACCAGATTAGGATTGAAAAACTCACTGTCAGTGTCTTATCATTTATATTGATAGTTTTAAAATAATTTTTTCATCAGAACATAAACGTGATTCATGTAAGAAATTATCCATTCTACTCTGTAAATGAGCCCAGCTCTCTGTACTTCTGAGTACTTTGATTACCTTAGTTGACATTGTCTATTCTTAAAAAGAATTTACAAAGGAAATCTTTAAAAAAGATGTGTGGTTGCTTTCCGATTCACTGACTCAAATCTTCTTTTTACAATTCAGGACACAACTTTTTTTTTTATCTTTTTATTCCCCTATCCTGTCAACAAATATTTTGAAATTTTATGGAAGAAAGATGTTCCCACTTACCTACCGACCCAATACTTTTACCCTGAGTCGGAAGAGGGCAAGCAAACATTATTTTAAAGATGGCTTAATATGTATAATTTTCAAAAAATGCAAAAGATGATATTTAGTATATTAAAAACATATTATTTAAAGATAATAATTTCACATACCAAATGCTCTTGCTTGAAAATCTAAACATAACACTTCCAAATAAATAATAATATAAATGAACATTAGAGACGCCATCTTTAAGTTGACGTTATGGCTTGTAAACTTCTGGGTCGTGATTTACACTGGAGATTTATATGTGCGATACACAATATCAGAAACCGGATCGGTCAAACTTCCTTTGTGCAAAAGTAACAATAGATTATAATTATGCCTCAGCATGGGTTTAAATACAAATGATATAAGAGATATTAAACTTTGCTGTGACGTCTTTTTTTTTTTATTCTTGCAGCTTACCAATTTACCTGTAGCTGCCCGATAATAATAAATACCAGTCCGATGGTATTTATTATCAGAAGGCAGCGATAGCAATTGGGCGGCATTTTAAATAACATGTAGAAGGAAATCAAGGTTTCAATATGCGCAAAAACAAAATAAAATGTTAGGAATTAAAACAAAGTCAGGGAAAAGAAATAGAGAAAATTAAGTTGCCATTAAATAGCAAATCCACTAAGAAGAAAATCAATTGTTAACTTTCCTCAGCAGAAACGTTTTTTTTTTGTATTATTTTCCAATTGATTTTGATAAAGCATTGTAAGTAAGCGAATTTAAATCTTTTTAAAGGAAACATTTCATTCAACAAGCAAATTCAAAAACTTGTGATCCCACGCTTTCGGTGTCTTTGTGGATGAGGTGTCATTATTTTTGGCATATTGTGTTAATTATGAATGCCCTAGATATATATGGCATTCAGAAGTAATCACCAAAGTAATTTATTTTTTTTTTTAGAAAATTAGGTCCATCATAAAGGTCAAAGGCTCAGAAATCATAGCATACTCGAAAATATCTTGTCACGGGTAATGGAAATGTCAAATATGAAATCTCTTCTCAGTCAAAAGTTATGAGGAAATTTAACATTTTTGTGGTCAATATCACAAGATCAAAAATAATAGCGTATTTAGAAAGGTCTTGTCACAGGCAAATAACATGTATAATATGAAAGCCACATCTCTTCTAATTTGAAAGTCACAACCTAGGTTAATTTTTTTTAAAAGTAGTCAACTTTCAAGATCTAGGTCTTGAGGTCTAAAATCATTGTGTTTTTAGAAAGGTCTTGTCACGGGTAATATATATCTTTAATATGAAAGCCCTATCTCTTCTCTTTCAATAGCTTTGGCCTAGATAAATGAATAGTGTGTTTCCGGTTCCAAGACCGACTCTAGAATATTCGAGCCGACCCTGAACATTTTTTCTGCCATATATTTGCAGGAGTAACAGGGTTTTAGATTGGTGTCGGCCTTCGGCCATTTGCTGATAAAAATTACAAATGGCAGGAAAAAATAAAATTAAATGCCAAAACGTCCTATAAGTTTAACATTGATCAGACATAATGGCCGATTAACTTCTGTACATAAAGGCCAGTCGTATAATTTTCCCCTATTCAGATCCGATTTTTTTACTACTTTCTGCAACTGCAGATATCATCAGCCATTGACACTTTTATTTCCAAATCCAAAAGCACAAACATAGTGATGAATGTTGAAAACATCGACGGATTCCATGCCTTGTAGATATTTTTACCTCTTTGATTAAATATGGGGTCAGATTAATAACATAAGGAAGACAATTGCAAGGTTTTACTGTAGAAAGAAAACATTTTAAGTCTAGACAACCTGTAAATGTATATATACATAAAATCAGAAAAACAAGTCTTATTTCTGGATAACTACTTTTAAGACTTGTATTCCCAAGAAATAAATACTTGAACTGATGCACATTTAATAGAGGGTGGGACTAACATCAGTAAAATACCCATTGAATGGATTTTTTAAACTCCCCTTCTATTTTAATATAATGATTTACTTTGAAGTAAACAAAATATTATTTTCCACTTTATTTAAAGGATAATTAATAATTTAAACGTCAACGAGGCTGAAGTATTGAATTATTTTTTTTTAAATAATATTAAGAAATATCCTAACAATTGAACTTTTAAGCGTTTTACCAACATTGATCTTCATGTCTCTATATAGTCTTTTTTACATTGATTCGCAATATCACCAGTGTGAAAATTATATAATTTTATCATATTCCGGTATCTAAAATTGAAATGTTTTACTTTGTCTATATGAAAAACCTTTATTTGAACTAATTTAATCCAAGTTAAAGTTAAAACAATCAAATAAAAGAAATTGTAATTTAATTAAGAAATAAATAACAAGTTTATAAACTTCAATGGGAATTGAAGTGGGTCGGTCACGTGATCAAATCCTGTGAAGGCCGAAGGCCTTCTCAGAAGATTTGATCACGTACCGACCCACTTCAATTCCCATTGAAGTTTATAAACTTGTTATTTATTACTTATATATACATTTGAGACAGACAATTGAATATTTTCGAATTTAAATTATTGCATTAACCGTCCGTCGTAGATTTTGAAAAATGACGCAAGGTGTAAATCGGCTTGCATGGCGGTTACGCTTCAAATTCATTAGGCTAAGGAATCTATTTCGAAGGGAATATTTTGTGAAAGGCTACTTGTGATCAGTAATAGTGAACAGATTGTTGTCTGGGAATATTTTATTCGTGAAAATGATAATCGATGCTGAAAAAACACAAGAAACACGTCCGAAGTTTGATGATAAAAAGTTTGAGGAATTTCGGTCGCTGGAAAGGGATGGATGGATCCGATGGACTGAGACACTTGTCCGAGCCAGTTAATTTGCAATTTGATAAAAAATATTCCACGGTTTCAGTAACTAAAGGCATACTTATCGTAAAACACTGATAAACACGGAGACACTGGCGACAGCTTTATATTGAACTACGAAAACACCGAGGTGTTTGGCAGCTGTTCATGGCATGATTGCAAAGATATTTTCCAACAGATTTACACATTTATCGTGAGTAAAATTTAAAGATAAAATAAAAGTTTATCATGAAAATTTAACCAAAGGTCTATCCAAAAAATAAGGATGAACGTTAGAGACTGTGCAGCTGACAAAAGTGAAGAAAAATGTAAACAAACGCCAGGCTCCTAGTTTTCTCTATGTACACAGGTTGAATCGATAGCCTAAAAACTGTATGAAATACTTGTTTACATTTAAAATAAATAATTATCATTTTACTTGCTTATTTTATTCATTTTTATACACGAAAAGCAAGTAGAGCAGGTCATTTTAAAATTTATGTACCGGTAGATATTATTGCGCCGTGTGATTAGGTCACGTATTGACCTCTGACCTCTGACAAACTTCATACAGAATTGAAGATATTTTCTCTCTGTATGTTTATATAATGGAGAGATACCACAAATGTATATATTGTTGTATTAAAAGAATATTTATCTATTAGGCAAATATGCGCTTTTGATTTAAAACAGGAAAGAACAGATTCTGCTTATACCCTTTCTCTGTTGTAACCAGGGGCTGTGATACATGTATGTTGAATATTATAATTCACTACGTGATATCTTTCCTCAGGTAACTTTGTGAATATTTTAATCCGCTACGTGGCATATTTAGCATGTTTGTACTGACTATAAGAGTCAGTGCTCGAACACGTTACATCGAATTTAATATTTTTATCTACATGGAGGATCCATATTGTTAACCTTAAAACCTTTGTAAATGACGAACTTTTGCAATACAGAATAATTGATCTTGTAAAAAAGCATGTCACTTTTATTCATCTAGTCTTATTTTAGATCTTTAAGATTTTTGCTCCTATTCTCATGCATGCATAATGTTCAATCAAGGGAGGTAAATGTAAATTCTCTGTATTTGTAAAACACTTAGGTTGAAAAAGACGTGAAATTACTTAATCATATATCAGTCTAAAATTAGTTTTACATTTAAATCAATTGCCAGTTTGATAGACATCTGTATTGAATATACAGAAGTTAAATTAGGTTAAGATTTAAAAGCAACAGAATCGACCGAAAAAGACCAAAAACAGCTTTAATTGAAGTCACCCTTAAGAACCTAGATAGCTTACCGAGGAACCCAAAGATAAAAGGACTGTTGAGGAGAAACTGTCATACAGGGAGGCATCTTTTGAAAGTCACATATCAACTAGAAAGCAACTGATCGTTGGTCCTTTATAAGATGAAGTATTTTAAATGTTTTCGCCAGGTAAGAAATATAGGTTTATTTACTCTTTATTTGATTTTATTAATCGTATAAAATGACGTGCGTTTCCTCTTTTCTCACGCGGTAATAATCCGTTTTGGGATAATTACCCTCTTGATTTTTGATAAACGACAAGCAATAATGACGTACCAGAACCCATTTACCTTGATGATGAAGTAAACGGTCAATGTTTTTTTTCTCTTAAATTAACGTGTAATTTATTGCAAATATTTTTTTCCTGTTTATTTTTCGTAGGCCTTTTAAACATAATATAATAGATAAGTCTGTATGTTGAAGAATATGCCAACCAAAGATCATATTGATTAGACGGGTATAAACAGATACTATAGCTTCAAAACACTTGTTACTGTATAGAAAATATTAGTTACATTGAAAGATGCCTGAAATAAAAACAAAGTTGTTGTTCTGTTGATGCTGAAGCTTGGTTAATATGTGAAAAAATATAAATGGGTTGTATAAGCGGGTTATAGTTGAGATGAAGTTTTCTCTTATTGTTTAACAACTTGAAGACTCATCAATATTCAATGGAATCCGTTAATCATTTTTTTATAAATGAAAACGAATTATGACTAATTTTTACGTACGTGTGTTTGTGAAAAATCGGCACCAATGTTCTGATTAAATCAGTTCAGAATATTCAGCAAGGTACACTGTAACTCACAAATACAATGAACCTTTACCTTACATTTACAGTAATTAAGAAAAAAATATATTTTAAAAATTAGGAAATCATTTATCATTCATCGCCGAGTGACTGATATTACAAATCGTGATAAGAGATATAAAACAAATCCTTTGATAATTATTGATTTACTGATATATTGCAGAATAAAAGTCAAAACTTTAAAAAAAAGAAAATAAAACAACCAAACGAGAGAATGTTCTTGCGTATCAAAGCAGAAATAAACACGACATGAAGGTGATATTGGAATGAATGATCTGTGAGCTAGTAATACTAGTTTCTAATTACATGTATAATATGTTATCCATTTAAAAGTGGCAATATTCCATCAAAGAATTATTGAACTTGAGCTATTACTTCTTAAAGTGAACTCATATATTAATATATATCGATATACTATATACAGGGTTATTT